TGTCGCTGATGCCGCCCCTTAAAGCGCTCGTATTGTTTCCTCTGGAGATATCATGCTAGGGCTTCCTCTGCAGGGCCAAATACAGCCCCTCCGGGTTTTGTCGCCTAGCATTCGGACTGATGCCAAAGCCCATGCCACTTGTTCTGACCGTATCCGGGTAATGCGACACCTAAATCTTTCTGTGCGGGAGCGCACATTCACCTGACCGCCTTTCCTATTAGCGCTAGCGGCTTTGCCCAGGCACGTGGCGCGCGCCCGGCAGCAGTGGCATTGGACCTAGTCAAGTGCCTTCAACTGGGCATCCAGCTTTTCGTTGCCGGTGGGGAAACTCTCCTCACTACCGGGGGCCCCAATCGCTACGGCTGCGGGCCTGCAGATGGAGGGTATCCAGCCTACGTGCATTTCTGCTGTGTATGATGCTTTCACCGCACAAGACGTCACCATCTGACACTGAGTCCCAAATGACAGCTAGGAAGCCCTGCCACTTGCCCGCTGACCTGCAGAAAGCTCTCGCGTACCTCACCAGTCAACCGGCCTCCCAAGGGCTGAGTGACGTCCAGGATGTCGAATCGGATGATGACGTACACATGGACGTGACTGAGGGAGAGCTGGTCTCAGACACCCCCCCCGCTGGTGGCTCCCCCCAGGGGGGTGGTGTCGTCTGCTGCACCCATGGAAGTAGATGAGAGCGATCTTGCCCCTGATGAGGTGGCGGAAGCCCTTGCTGCTCTGCGTCAAGCCGGTCTTGACCAGATTGAGGGCTCCACCCCGGAACCCGCACCGGTGGTCGATCGTGCTCCCCACTTGCAGGCGGTGGGTGCGGTTAGCGTCTCTAGCGCAGACGAATACCAGGAATGTTTGCCCGCCACGGAGGAGGAAGCCCTGCAGCTGGGCTATGCGACCGCATTCCGTCCTGGGCGGGCGGACTGCCCTGTTGGCCGGGGCCATCAAGACGATGCAGAAATTGACGATGACCCAGACACCTTGAGTGCCCTTGATGAGTTTGCCACCCGCCTGTCATCCATCCCTGACATGACCCAGGCCAAGGATGTGCTCACTTTGCATCAGCTGGGTCTTTTCGCCCAGCTGCCCACTAGTTATCCGTGGGGCGATGTCATGTTTAGCACGCTGCATGTTACCGAAGCCGGCCTGCGCACTGTTCGGAATACCCTGGCCCTTCGGCGCATGATATCTGATGCTTCTGCACTCAGTGCGGACGAGAAACTCCGGATCCTGGCTCACGTGTCTGGCAACCTCCCTTGCCACGGTCTTTGCACCCCTGGCCGGCGGTGATGCCCCGCTCAGATTGCCGCAGTTGATGCTTGATCGGTTAGCGCAACCGCAATTCTGGGTGGCAGCGCTCACCATTGCCACCCGCCAGCATGCCCAATTGCTGCTAGCCGGTGATGCACTTGAGGAGCTTGAGGCGGGTGACTCCCTCGCTACTGGTGAGCAAGTAGTCCAATGGTATGGCCGTGCTGGCCCGGGTGATTGGCCTCTCCATCGCATGAAGGTGCATATCCCTACTGCAGCCATGGCCCACCTTTGCGCACATTCCCCCCAGCCTGAGGAAGGTGGGGGAGAAGTCTCGCTCAAGGGCAAAGTGCAAACAGTGCGAGAGGTTCGTTTCGTGAATGCAGGGGGGTTCAAGTCCTCATACACCCCGCCTTGCTTTTCTGACGTTGAGCACCACAGGCTCCACCTGCTACAGCAACTGCAGAATGGGAGGGGCTTGGACTTTGACGTTCAGGATTACTGTGGCTTGGTGACCGACCTGTGGCTCCCCCTTCCCGCTGAAGGGCAGACGTTTGCGGACTTTGCTCGTCGTTTGGGAGCTACTTCTCAGCGCTGGATGTCTGCCGTGTTAGCCGCGCCCCCTGTCCTTGACAGTACTGCAGCCGAGGTCATTCTGAAATCTGTGGACAGTTTCCATGTGGAGCCATCCGGCCTCACTCTGCAAGCATTCATGAATCAAGGTCCCAAAAATACACAGGCGGCCTCCGCCTTCCTCCGTGAGCCCTCGCTTAGCGGATTTAATACGGTCACCAATATGGTACGGGTTCAGGCGCGGGCTGCTGAGCAAGGGCCCGCGACGGCGCTGAAAAGACTCTGGTCCGCAGGCCGTATGGAGCAACCCATGGTCTGCAGCTCTCTCACGGGCACTTCTGCTCAGAGCTCCGTGCAGTATCGGCCCCGCCGGTCTCACGGTACTCTGCTGCATAATTGCTCCAAATTTGTTGTTGATCATACTTGCTCCTTTGGCTAGGAACACCTTCTTGTGTAGCCGGGTTGCTCTGTGATTGCCTGGGGGAAGGTAGTACCGTGCCCCGCTCGGTCTTGCGGCCCCTTCCTGCCATTCTGCCAACCCCAAACCGCACTGCCCCTTGCTTTAGCGGACGTGTGAACCTAGGTGGCCCATGAAAAGGATACCTTGCTCCCTTAATTACATTCTCATTGGTGCACCTGTGCTGGAAATTTGCTGCTGGGGCAGAAGTGCCGTCTAGTGCCGTGCCCAGCTCGGTCTCGCGGTCTCTCTCCTGCCAATTGCCTTGCACTCCAAACCCTGCCCATTCGGCAGCTTGCCAATGTCTTTGCGATAGGACCTGCGCCGCGCCAGGCCCCCGCAAGGTCTGGGTTCTTGGCAGTCTAAAGCTGTGGCAGGAATACTGCCTACTATTACCCCCGAAACAGCCACTCCCCGATGGGCATTCGTGCCGGAAATTTGCTTGCTGGGGCGGAAGGTCCGTGTAGTCCCGTTCCCCGCTCGGTCTCGCGGTCTCTCTCCTGCCAATTGCCTTGCACCCCAAACCCTAACCATTTGGTCGCTTGCCAATGTGCCATAGGACCTGTACCGCGCCAGGCCCTTGCATGTCTGGGCTCTTGGAACATTGTGGCGGGGAGTCAACCCTACTTTGCATCTCCCTTATGACCCCTTTGTCAAGGACATGACGGCTGGGGGGGAATACCGTGTCGTACCGAGCCCCGCTTGGTCTCACGGTTGTCCTCTGTCCATTGCCCTGCGCTCCAACCCTAGCTAAGGCCAACGGCCAGTGCCCCCACAATAATCTTGTGGCCTGGTCCGTGCATCACTCAGGAACTTGGAAAATGTGCCTGGCAGGCCGGCCATGTAGCCCTACATCGTCCGGTAGCTGCTGCCTTGCTAGCCTTTGCGTGTCATGCCTGATCCGGGCATTGGTCTACTGCACACAGAGCGTCTTTTTGGCAGTAGGGCACATCTTCAGGGAGGGGCCACCACTCCTCCCTGGCGGATGTCCCAGCACTCAGACACCCCACCGACCGGCTACATTGCTCCCTGCAGTGTAGCATGTGGACCATGTGGTCTTGAGCCCCGCTCAGCCCATGGTCCCCTTCCTTTTGACGTGCGGCCCTTGCAGTTGGCCCACTTGTGGTGTTGACCAATGTGTGAGCACTCCTGTGTCGCTGCTGGGCTGCCTCGCTGGCTCGCAATGCCGCGAAGTTGTCCCTGCGGCTACAGGTGATGCCTGTGAGCCGGCTAATTCATGCATGCCTTTTGCTTGTCGCCTCGGTGGCATTTTTGCCCTAATTCATGCACGTCCCTTGGCTAGTGTGTCCGGCCTTCTGTGTAGTCCCTTTGCATATGCTCCTCTGCATGGCCATGTACGGGGGTTAACGATGCGCTAATGTGCCCCCGGCAGAGTGTAGTGCGCTCCGCGAGTGAACCGTATGGTCTGTGCCCCGCTCAGCCTCATGGTTCTCTTCGCGCGTAGTCTATGCATTTGGTGTCTTCCTTTCCGCTCGTAATTTATTTCAACATGCACTTCTGCGTGCTGGCGAAATCACTTTTTGCTCTCGGTTTGTTTGTTCGTTGTCCTTTTTGGCTGTTTTTGGTTTGGCTCTGTTCGTCTGTTTGGCTCCTCTGTGGCCTGTCATATTTCGCCGGCTTTTTTCAAGTGACGTCTCACCATCTGTTTCACCTCTCCTCCTTTGTGTATTCTAGCAGGTTTCGCGACCGATGGCAATTGCCTCAAGGCGTGCGGGTGACAAAAAAAGCAGTGGTGGGGGTTGTAGCAGTCGTCAGGGAAACTTCTACGCAGCTGAAGTTTTAACTTGTCGCCGCCTGGCTCGCTTGGGGTTGTAGAGTTCCATGTTCCCTTCTGTGAAGGGTGCTTGTTGATCCCTTGAGTTGCAAACAAAGCAAAACAGAACAGCGTGGCCCAATCACAGCAGCAACAACCTGACTGCTGCTCGACCTGACCCTGTGAGTTCGAAGGCCGCTGGACAGAGAACGCGAGCGCCCGATAAGCAAGTCCTGTAAGAGCGGGAATCGGGGTTGTTTTCGCCCAGCCCTTGCCACGTTGCTTGAAAGTTCAGCCAGACGAGTTGATTTGCAACCGCGGCATCTCCAACAAGCAAGCTTTACCTTTCCCCCAATGGAGGCTGCCAGATGTGCCGCTTTCAAGCACGCCGCGTTTTCAGACATGGCGGCAGACGACTTGTGCTTGCTTTACACGCATTTCACCCACAGTGGAGCAAGGCGCGGAGCAGTATAAAGAACACAATAGATTTTTGCTTGACGCTGAAAAAACGGCACAAGCTGAACAAGCTTGGGTCGAAGCGCCGGACTTCCAACTTTGACTCTTACAACAAAGAGGCACTGCGGCGGACTTCCTCATTCTGAGCCGTTTCTGCACAGGACAGAGAAAACTAACAAATTTCCAGTTGTTGAATGAGCTTTGTGTTTTTGCTTTTGCGAAAAGCGTAGTCCCCATGACGGCTTGTTGTGGCATGTTTTGCAGGGTTTTCCAGCAGTTGTTTTGCAAGGTGTTTTTGCTCAAATTTTGGAGCGGGCTCCACTGGCGTCCAGCAAGCCTTGACTTGCGCATGAGCTTGTTCAGCATGTAAGAATGTTTATGTCCATTCATGCTGACAAATTGGAAGTTGTAAACAATCATACAAAAACGCAAGAATGTGTGATGTGTTGGCTTCCTGGTCATGTAGTGACATTTCGGCGTGACTTTTGTGATTGATTGCCCACAATGCAACATGCGCACAGAAAGCCATGGTTTCTCTTCCTGCTCATGGTAGCTTCTGACCTGTGCTTCATCCAGACGGTTCGCAACCGTGCTTTCGATGAAGGAGCTTGCTTCTGTTTAACTGCTTTTGCGTTGTTTTACCTTTGATTTTTGCCCCACGCCAAGGTGCACATTCGAGCATCGCCCTGAAGAGCATTGGCAACAGTCAGGATGGAAGACCAGCACTACGTCCTCCGTTTCGGTTCCACACATTGGCAAGCGAGGCTGCTATAAAAGAAGGTCTGGAAGTCGAGCAGTATTTATCCAATGTATTGCAACGGCAAGAGGACTTCATGAAGACCAACGAAGTGGTTGACAGGGGCGATTTTTTAGAGTCACTCCGGCAAGCAATGCGCTCAACACAATTTTCACTCGTACTTGGAGGGAAGAATCTCGGCAAGACGCTGATGCGCAAGCGAACCGTGTGCGAGCTTGAAAACGAGGCCAACGCAAACCTGACGTTCATGGATGTGAACATGAGGGAGCACCCCAGCCAAGAACTTTTCAAGGCTATCTTGGGCAGGGTAGCATTCAAACGCTCTGATTGGGCTGGAATCCTGCAAAAGGTGGCTTCAAGCATTGCCAGCCTTGCAGCGCCAGCCGCTGCAAGACCGATATCTGCTGCAGTAAATGCGCTAGTCGACTCATTGACATCGAGTGACAGGGAGCAGACCTTGTTGGAGCTAATAGACACCTTGCGCACCGAAGGCAATGACACATGCATCCTCGTGGACGAGGCCAATATAGCATTGCCAGCAAGTGAGGACCCGGAGAATATCCGCAATGCGAGGCAAGCATTGCAATACTTCGTCATGCTTACCAAGGAAGCAAAAAAAGCAGGCGTGGTGCTCATCACTTCAGACTATGGCTATCCTTTCCGGCTTCAAAACTGCGGCATGAGCCTGCAAGATATCCAACGCATCATCAACGTGAACGAAGTGGCCAAAGCGGACATGCTGCAGCTCATGGTGGACAGATGGGGCATGAGTGAGGACCTCGGAAAGGAGTTCTTCAGCTACTTCGGTGGAGACATTTACACTTGCTCCGCAGCAGTGCAGCAGTTGGCAAGCAAGAGGAGTGCGTTTTGTCCATTTTGCATTGTGGAATGCCCTGGCTTGCCAGCTTGCGCTGCTGACCCTGATGCAAAGAAACATTTGCAAAACATGCTGGAACAGGGGTGGTCTCCAGTTTTCGATCTTGAGCTAGATGCTGCTGCAAGGTTCATTGCAGAAATGAACGTAGGTGGCATCGTTATGAAGAGGTCAAAGTATTTTGACCAACCCGAAAACATGTGGAATGGAAAGCATGAATATGCCCTTGTACCATCGGGCACGCTGATGAGATGGAAGATTGGGAAGGAGCTGAGCATTGAGAGCATGGGCAGCTTAGCTGATGAACTTTGCAGGAAAAGTGTGCCTGTGCTAAGCTTTTTGGTCTGAGCCGTGGGCATCACTTTACAGTCCAGAATCTTCTGCTTTGCGTCGCAGGTTTGTATGATGATATATGGCCCATGGCACATGTGAAGCAGACGTGCCTTTAAGCAGATGCAAGCAATCTTGCGAGGTCATGTTGTTATATGGTAACGTCCAAGCGTCACTTTCCCGCTTCAGTTTCAAGCAACATTTTTTGTTTGTTTTTTTGCGTGGCGCTGTCAGACCAATTCCCTCCACATCATTTCTTGCCGTTCTTGTTCATTGGCCTCAGCAAAATCGAGCAAAAGAGGGCTTGACGCTTTTGACGCTTTTGACACGCTGTCAAATGGGTTTCCCGGGACCCCAGAAGTCTGTCCCTTGGGCAGACCGAAGATGTTTTTATGGAGCGGATGCCACTGCCCTGCCGATTATGCGAGTATGGCCCCGTACGCTGCGTCGGGGGACAAATGTACAAACTGAAGGAGAAGGGCTGTTAATCCTTTTCGCGTCATTTTGAAGCGGATTGAGGGGTCGCTTTTGTGGCTCCAAGGGTTCCTGCTGCATTTTAGCGTTCAGGACGCTTGCAGGACGGGTCATTTCCTGGACGGACAACGTGAGAATCGCCACAGTTGCGTCAAAAACCCGTTTGGAGAATCCCTTCCAAAAAGAGAAAACGCGCTACCCGGGATGCGCTTGCAGGTTGCCTTCGTTCGGAAGATTAAAGCTTTTGCCTCCATGCTCATACACGAAAACATTGTTCTGGCCGCTTGATTCTGCACTGGGTGGTTTCGATTGCGACTGGTTTGCGGCAGGTTTAAGGGCGTTGGCCGGATTCTGACAGACCAAGACGCTTTCTTCCACGCTGTTTTGAGGCCTGGAGACTCGGGGCATGACAATACTGGAGGAGGTTCCAACGATTTGGGCGTGCAGTTTTAGTCCGATAGTTCTATGCGGTGTAGGCGCAAAGAGAAGACACGCAACAAGTTATAGAAAAGGCAATGAAGAGGGACGAAGCGTAAATTAGTGCCGGTCTCCAATGAACACAGAATAAAAAGAAGATCGCGCTTGCGTTTTCGTTTTGTATCAATGTTCATTTCAGATACCATTTTTTTGAGGTTCGCCCGCCCCTCGTGTCACCAAGGTCAGAGCGTCCGTAAGTGACATTCGAGCTGCCTGAATTCTTTGACAGCATAGACACTGCTTCGACTTTGCATTCTCTGCGGGTTCACTTCGGATTTAAAAAATCAGGCTTGAAACAGTGAACAGGCTTCTAACATGGATGGACCATTGTGAGAGAAAGGTGTAAGGGATGCGTGGCAGGATGCCAGGAGCATCACGGAGAGGCTTCATTACAGTTTGCGAGATTTGGATATGCCGATGCAGGCGATGCGAGAGAATGACAAAGTGACACGTCGAATGGACTGGGTCTGGCATGATTTTAACTTGGTGAAAGGTCAAATCGCAGAATGGGTTGGCCGCTTTCTGGTGATTGAGAGGGCGGTGGAACAGTAAGAGAGATCCGGAGCAGATCCCGTTGAGAGTTGTGGAAGCAGCAGCAAGATCTATTCGGATCACACAGCTTGGGCGGATCAGCTACGCGCAAGGGTGTTGTACTACACGCGAGGAAAATGGCCCCCGAGGCAGGAATTTGTTTCAAAGCTTATCATTTTAGAGTAGGCCATTCTTCAAAGGCATGGCTGATTTAGATTTCTAACTTTGTTTCCTTGAGGTGAGGTGTCTTTTTTGAAAGTGGCGCCTGAACCCAATGGACAGCTGTTAGCTGTTGGCCCGCAAGCACAGCGGAACGCCGCGGCTTTCGGCTCAAAGTCCCAGCGTCACCTGCCCAAAGGGATGGCTGACATGGAACTTATGGTCTTTGTTGCGATTCTTTGATTTGGTGCATATGGGCGAGGCACTTTTTTGCTTGTATGTGGTTGGGGGGCAAGAAATTGAGGTAGGAACCTCCACCCTCATGCCGTTATTTTTTTTTCGAAATGGCTATGGGTTGTTAGTGATTGGGGGACATCTTCACGTGGTGCAGCTGGAACCCTGCAAAGGCAAAAGACCCGAGTCCTCACTGGCCTTTTGCAGAAGTGATATTTTTTGGGGCCTCTTTCTATGTCAGATGGACACAGACACTCGCGCGCTCGTCAACTCCGAGCTCAGTCCGTTGCGTGAGGACGGGGGTCCCACAGGCCAACTCCAAAGACAACGCTTGTAGACGAATCTCCTTCTGAGGGACACGTCTTTTTGGGTTGGGGAGGGGTATGTTCAACCTAGTAGGTTACAGCCATAGCTGCTTAGGTGCTCACACCCAAGTGAGTTCCCAAGAGTTTCACAGAACCCTCTTTCGGTCTTTGAATCCAGGGAGCCGAACCCCTAAAAACCCTTGAATGCCATGCCTGTTAGAGCGCTGCTATTGTGTCTGTGCGTGTCCGTTGCCAGGTGGCCCACTCAATTTGTCCAGTCCCTAGGGTACCTGAAACAAGACCTGGCACTGTGTAATTGTGAGGTTTGCCGTCGTGGGTTGCAGTCACGCCTTTGGCTTTGGCATGTAAACCATAACTGTGATTGTTTGCATTCATTAAGAAGCCTTGCTTTGCATGACACGCCGAAAACTGAGATGGAATGGGAGCAAGGTATGCGTCCAGCAAGAAGCTGGGAGGAAACACTCAACCACAAGGCGTGTCCTTTGAGTTCTAGAACTAATGCAACGTCACCGTAAACCGATACGGCGGAACGCACCAATATAAAGGGCCCAGTGATCAGAGACACGTTTCACAATGGAGCATAGCTAGCCGAGAACATGATAACAAATGACACAAATTGCCTTGCCAACGCAAGGCTTTGGATGCCGCCGAGTAGAGATGTAGCTACACTACAAACGATGGGATTTCCAGCCGGAGACGGCAATAAAGATTGTACGACAGGAAGACAAGTTAAAACCACTGCGAACCAATAAGGGACACACACGTTGACATCCTTGCCACGTTGTTTTTCACCCCAACCCTTCCAGATTGCTTGCGGGAGGTCTGGCATTGGTGATTTTGAGAACCATAGTTGCTTACAACTAGTCTCAAAATTCGTGGGCAATGGTAAGGTTTGCCCTGTGGGTTCCCGGTTTCTGGAGCTGGTCTTGAGCTAAGGGTTTGGCACTGCAATGGCAATGGTGGCGAGGATTTTCTCAAGAGCCGCGGTCTTACCGGATTGTCGCTTTCGAAACAGCGACCAGGGTCCATCGTCAAGTTTTCGACTGCGCATGGGGAACATGCGGGAAATGAGGCTTTGGGTCTTCCATGTGGGGTCCCTAGGTCATAGAGGTCAAAGCTATCGTAGCCAGAATCAGATCTGGAGGTTAGCAGTCGTTTTGAGTGGGACCCGAACAATTGCGGTACTTCGCCAACCAAATAGAAGCGCCCCTCGAGGTCACAAGCTATAGTTTTTGATACGGGCATGCAGTGTTTGGAGTTGCTGAATCCAATTGCACCGGTGTTTTGAAGGGTCCCCGAAAAAAGGCAAACCCATACCGGGTCT